TCACTTTCGCTCGAAATGGAATTTCAGCAAGTATGAAACAAAAGAATTCTCGAAACCCTACTTTTCTTCGGATATACTCAAAAGAGATTGCCTCGGAAACAGCTTCAACTAGAATGTTCCAGTAGATCCGATTGACACATGGTCGAGAAGAATCCGCTATTGCCTACCACTGAGATCGAAATTCGAATAACTTCAGTAATCACTTTCGCTCGAAATGGAAGTTAGTTATACAATTATATACCTATAGATTATTGGAAACCTGACTTTTACCAGCATATAGATGGATTGACCTAGCCAATTCATTCAAGTAGACTAAATAACTTTGGAACTAGAACCTGTTTGAGGGATTGTGTATTAGAATTAAGGTATGATAGCCTATATTCCGGCAAAGGTGGCAAAAGTACGCTTATTATCTTGTCCAGCATAACTCTGGAGAATGACATAAAACGTCTAGTGTATTGTAATATGTTCTACCAAATGGACCATCCCCTGGTTAAATGAATTAGTGTTACAAGAGGATAAGAATAGTATAGAGCTTGCGGCGATTCTCCATTTTGACCGGGTAGTGACGTTGATTAAATCTTATGTTCCAGATAGGACTTCTGAATATGTTTGTCGCAGTAATCTGATTGTTTCAAAGACCAAAGAACGTGGGCATTAGTTGGTTAAGCTGTTTCGAGCATATGTTAGTTCAATTTAATGATATTAATTTATATCAATTTTAACTAAAATCTTCGTCAGTAAGCCTTAAAAACTAGGCTAAAAAACTCATTCAAAATACGCTTACGTAAAGTAGAAGTGGAGAAGAGGAGTTTTTCATAAGTATAGTGGCTTTATTCATTCAAAAAGTTTAATGAATTTGTAAAATTTGTGAACCAACTAATAACTTCGCGATATCCATGTCTGCCAACATTCCTGTTCGAAAATATGGAAGCAATAAGTATAAATATAACCTTTATTTTATGTCTATACACCTTGCCTTTGAGTAGTACTTATGTCACCTTTGAGGGTATATTTTTTGATCAGACACAATGTATTGCGTTCGGATCATGCATAGTTTCCCTTTAGAAGATAGTTTTCATGGTAAAATCTGAAAAATGGATAATGAAACAGAAAATATGTACTCCACAATTGTTAGTGGATTATATGAATAACCTTTTTATAATTTAGCAAATTGAGATAATTTCCTATTTTCACTTTGCAAGCATGAGACTAGCAGTCGGTCAATATTGGAATTAGAGAAAAATGACACTTTAACATTTATGTATCTTTTGGTTATTATGGAAGGTGGTTAGTTAGCCAGACAGGTTTGTAGGAAAACAGCATATGTTGTTGCTATCGTGAATGTTATTTTTAGCATTGATTAAAAACGGAGGTTGTAAACTTTGGCTTGATAATGAAAATGATTTAACTCTAGCTTTAATCTAAGAAGAGTATTTATATACATTAAGCAAGTAGTACTCTAAAAAATGCATTTCTTTAAATAATGAAAATATAATTAAACTGAGGCTAGTTGGTCAGGGCTAGGCAAGCTGTAAGCTTTTCTAATGTCCTACCTCTACAGTCTTGTCATTTTTCTAATAATCTGAGCGAACAGGTTAGAAGAGGGGTACATAAGCATGGTTCAAAGAAATCGTGACCCTTTCTTCAGCTATGCCTTCTTTTAGGGGGAAGCATGACCCATCATAAAAGGTCGGCTGTTACAAAATTGTGTGTTCATCTGATCGTCCTTATGTTAGTGAGTCCTGTCGCCTCATTCGTCAATGTTAAGTTGAACATAAAAATGTTGTGTTCACTGGCCAGAAGGGGCTGTAAACGGGGTAGAAACGGGGCGCCAGCTAGAATTGTCAAAAACGCATCACTTTCATTTCGAGTGAAAGTGTGAGCAAAAAGACTCAAAGGTTGATCCCACCAAGAGACCTAATTCTACAAACACGGGCATAGGCGGATTATCTACCAAGACTGAGGTTGCTGTGGCAACTGCAAATCCCAATGTTCCAATTATGTTAGACGCAATGTATGGTTTCGTAAGCCACGATAATATTTTCAGCATTGGATTCACAACCAATCCCCGTCAACAAAAATATAAACGTGAATCATGTACCTCTTCGACACGACTTTAGGCCCAATGCATACATTTGCATGGATTTGACCTTTAGGGATGTATTTCGAAGTGGGATTCGATGACAGAGTCAAGACTTCTGTTGCTGATTTCAGCATGTGAATATTTGCAATCATTCCACTAAAAACATTGTTCGGTTTTGATGAAAAAACTGGTCATGATGCAACATTATCAAATAAAATCGGCTCATTTCCGTTGCTATGCAATGTTCTAATTTTACTGTGACTTTCATGTTGAAGTGAACCGCAAGACATCATCCACCGGTTGTAGCTCCCATCCGCAGAGCTGGATCTCGTTCTTACAAAACCTTCTTTTTGAGCAAATCTTGTCGAAAAATGCCATCCCGTGTAGACGATATCTGCAAAATGGCACAAAAGCGAAATCTCAGTCTGTTTTCAGCAGGACCGAAAGTGGATTTTTCATGGACCGCTGTCGGAGCAACAGGAAGCATCCGCGTTATTCTGGTGAAATTCACCTACAAATAACTTGATCAGTAAGTTTCCAGTTTAATAAAAGTTCTTACAACCATTGGAACTGTTGTAATTCGACACTCAGACCCAGTTTAGATGTGAAACAAGACAACATTTATCTACCAAATTACTCAATCTCTCCTCAACCTTAAAAATGCCATTCTTCCGTCCTGTTTTCACGTGTCCAACGTCTCGGCTTGTGAGGACACACAACCTGTTTTCGAGTCTTGCTACCCCATGCATACTGCACGGCCTCGGCATCCTCATAAATTATTGACTTATGGTACCGAGCAATAGTGAAGCCAAATGGCACTAAATTAAGAGATAATCCTAGCGCCCATCGCTTCTTCACATTCGACCGAGGGAGGATAAATCAGATTGCTTCCGGCCGTGGATTGTATGCAAGTTGGCTCGTTCAAACCGACAGTGGGACTCTTTTTTACCATCAAGTGCAGCCGAAGCCGGACGTTTTTAGCGAATCCAAATGTTCCATGTTTATCTGTAGTCGCATTCTTTATGGTACCAACGTTTAGGGTGAAAAACTGAGCAGACCTAGCCAAAGCGATTGGTGCGAAAAAACTACCCTCAACCAGTGAGAAAATGATGCAACCCGATATTGGCATATTAGCGCTGCTAGGGGCCTATGCAATCTGCCGGAAAGGGTGTTGAGTGTGAATCCAGTTAAACAAATAGTATCATGGCCAGTCCAACCGACTCGCCCCCATAAAAACTCGCCATGATGGCATGTGCATAATAAATTTGGGTTTGTGCGAAAGGGTGCTGGGCTGATTTTAATCTAATCCGTTGCCAACAGGCACATATAAATGACCAAGAAGCTAACAGTCGGTGAATCTGGTATGCTCGCCGAAAGACGAACTAACCGGCTGTATTCACAGGGGATTTTCCAATAAATTTTTTTCACTAAATTGAATATATAACAATCAATACAATTAATATAAATAAATAAATATTACCTTAAATATTTTCATTTATATACATTTTTTTGCAACTTATGTTTTTAAAAGGAAATCTTACAATCTGGTTGTGAACCTAAAGAAATTGATGCGAAGAAAAGTTGGGTTTCGAGGAATGTCTTGTTTCATAATTGTTGAGCTTACGCCCATTTCGAGTGAAAGTGTTGTGTGAAGAGATACGACGGCAGATTCCTCTTGACCAGCTGTCGATTGGCTTTAGTGCAAGATTCATGCTGACGCTGTTTCCGCGGTAATCTCCCTCGATTCCGGTCATACGACGGACGAAAGCTTAACACTTTTTAACCAGAATCGAAGGAGATTACTTCGGAAACAGCATCCTCTAGAATGTTCCAGTAAAG